TCGACCTAGACGTGGAGAACCCGCGTGAGGAGGGTATCTTGGCATTCATTATGTGGCTGGACGTGATGGGCCTGGCATCACAAACCCCCCGGATCATACAAGTAGTCGTAAATAGCCTTCGCTTTGAAGGAAAAGAGGACTTTAGGAAAAATCTGGCTGTAACACAGGTACTAAGGGTAATAAAAAAGGAGACCTCAAAGGATAAGACACCGGACTGGCCACGTGACCTATTGCCTATTGAAGCCTTGAGGCACTACGTAGATGTACCACCGTCCTGGGCGGATAATTTAATATATAAGAGGGATATAGCCTTAGTAGCCCTGGGATTAAGGACAATGCGGAGACCAGGCGAAATAGGAGACCTAAAACTGAAGAATATAAAATAGGACGACAAAGGGATTTTGTGGGTCCAGATCTGCAAGTTGAAAACAGACCAATTTAGAAACGGCAGGTTCATTCCAGTCGAAAATACAGGATCGAGGTACTGCCCGGCCTACTTATTAGAACAATACCTAAAAATTCGTCCAGAAACGGATGGGGAATCACCATTGTTTGTATCAAGACAGGGCAAGAAGGTCTCCGTCTCAGCTGTGGGCTCGATAGTAAAATGGTTCGCTGAACACGTGGGCCTAAATGGTAGGTTTACAGCTCATTTGTTAAGAATAGGAGGAGCCACAGCAGCAATGGCCGTGGGCCTTAAACGGTTTTGCAAGCAAATTTGCCTGTGATTTCTAAATTTGGATGTAGATCGATTTATATTTCTTTACAAAAATCGTCTAATCAATTTTTTGCATTAGTTAAATATTGATTTGCATTCTGTTAACATATTTAATTAATTAATTTAATTAAATACTTACCTATTGTTTCAAAAAGCGCCGTCTAAGAATTTCTTTAAAATTTTCCCATGTAAGATGTTTTTTATTCAAAACTTTTTTTTTTTTTCTTAATATTTTTTTATTGCATTTTTTAATGGAAACCTCAATTTCTGATGAACAGAACGATGATTACGAATATATTGTTGAATTATCATGTAATACTTATGAAAATTATGGAATCAAACGAAGATGAAAATTATGATGCTCAAGACAATCAACTCGAAGATGAAAGAATTGAAAGCCATGATAGTAGTCATGATCGTGGTCGTACTCATAGTCGTGGTCATGGCCGTGGTTGTGGTCATGGTCATGGCAGTGGTAATAGTCAAAATTATGAAGTCGAAAATGTACAACTTCCTTCTCTCCCTTCTTTTAATATATTTCAACATTTGTGCCCAACACATGAATTTACTTTAAACTTACCTACTAAATATGAATTTGCATTATCATCACCATATTTAATTTTTAGCCTCTTTTTTTCATCTGAACAAATAAGCACAATAGTCCAGAATACTAATGAATATGCCTA